CCTTTCTGGGTCACCCTGGTGTGGACTTTTGTCCAGCAGCTCCAAGTCCCTCCCTGACTCCTTTCCTTCCCAGAGGAAAGCGTTTGAGACCTAGAGGAGTGGGCAAACCCAGGGCCTGGCTGGAATTCAGTTCCAGCTCATCTGGCTACGTGGCCGCTCTCCCCAGAGAATTCCTGCACATCTCCAGCCTCGGTTTCCTCCTCTGTGCAATGGGGGTCTTAATGAGGGAGGATCGTTAGATGAATTAGATGAAACAATTCTACTGCCTGGCACATGGCAGATGCTAAATAACTAGCTGCTGTATCTGTTATTTGGAAAGGGAATTTCCTATTTATGGCACCATGCCCGGCTCTGGGGTAGGATTGAAGCCAGGCCCTTAGAGAGCATCTTTCCTGCTCCTCCTGGTTGGGGAGGAGGCTCTGTGTAAGAGAAGGCCCCCCTGCCAGGAGGGGACCCAGAATTTGTGTTTGCAGAATGAGTAAGTTAGTACCAGATGCTGGAAGACCAACCACCTCCTGCTCTGAGGGGCTGGGCAGGGCCTCCTTTCCCTGGGGCACGAAGACCCTCCCCCAGGACTTAATTAATTGCAGTCCCTGTTCTTCTCTGTTGTCCACAAGGGAGTGGCTGGCCTCGAGCCAGACTTACCTGATTAGCTTCACCCCTTTGGGAACAAGCTGTGTTTCTCTTCCCTAGGCCTGTGTCCCGCCATAACCCTTCCTCTCCCCTACCCAGGACCCTTCACCTTCCTGGCATAACTGCTGAGCGGGCACTTCCTCAGCTGCGGGGGTTGGGAACAGACCAAGGTTAGTCTTGTCTTGTCTGGTCCCCAGAGCTGCTCGAGTGTGTGCACACATGCACTTTCACACACTCACTCACAGCCCAGCTCTGAGGCTCACGGGAGACCAGGCAGAGGGTCTAGAGCCTGGGGACAGCTGGTGGGAACTGGCCAGGGGTGCGTGGCAGATCAGGAAGGGGAAAGCAGCAGGTGAGGCTCTCAGGGCCCCCACACACACTGTGAAGGCTCCCATCTGCTCCTGAAATCTCTCGGCTCCCCTGCAGACGAGGAGGCGGGGACGGCAAGCATGAGCTTCAGTTTTGAACCACAGGGATTTCAAAGCAGCCAGACAGCGTCCGTGACCGCTATGACATGGGACCTCTTGGTCTCAGAAATGTTGTCCGGGTCTTTTGAAGGGACAGTGGCGAGACCCTCTTTCTTCAGCCCTGGAGAGTAGTGTCTCCCTGGAGAGTAGTGCCCCCACCCCACCGTAAATAAAATCTCCCTTGGAAACAGAGGAGTGGGGATGGGCAGGTGATGGAGCGTGGCCGCCTGCTGCCTGGCTGCCTTCCTCAAGCCCACCCTGCAGGGGTGGCAGCCGTGACAGGCTTGGGATCCTTCAGTCCTACCTCTGCCTCTCAGTATGTGGTTCCTCAAGTGAAGGAATTTGCTTACCCAAGTTTCAGTTCCCTCATTTAGAAAATGGGGGGAATGGTAGTATTACCTCATGTGGTGGCGAGGGTTCCAGTGAGGTCATGTCCGCTGTCTCCGGCGTGTTCACCTCCCCGGGTGTCATTACCGGTGGGCGGCAGCCACATTCGTGGTTCTCATGCCCTGGCCTCTGCATGATCCCTGTAGAAACCAGGGCTTGGGCCCCAAATTAGGAAGCGAACTCTGTTCTTAAAACATTTCTACCCTCCCTCACTCCCAGTGCCCTGTCCAGTGTATCATGGAAGGTTCTGACAAAGCTGCAGGATGATTTCGGGCCATGCCCTTTGCTCTCCTCTCCCCTGCCCCCCAGGGACTCAGGAACCAAGATGGCTTCTCTCCTCTGGCCCCTTGCTGGGTAGCCAGGTCCAGGGGGGCATGGTTGTCCTTCTATGTGTCCTGGTGTCCTTCCAGTACCTGTCCTTCCATGTGTCCTTCCAGTACCTGGAAGCACGTGGTGAGAGGCGGGGCCTGTGCCAGAGGGATTGCTCGGGATGTAAACAGACCACCTCTCCAGCAGGCAGGGATGAGGCCAGGAAGGATGTCCCAGAACTTCCTTCATGGCCAGGCTGGGTGCCAGACCTGACAAGATTGCTTCCCATGACTGGCTGTTGGCTTCCCTGGTAATGGTGCCCAGAGGTAGAAATGATGCCCCCAGACACATCCTTGCAGGCCCTCCAACCCTATGGGGACAGAACGGGTCCTGAACTCAAAGACACAACCCCTGAGGTCTACTCAGAACTTTGCCCTATCAACCTCAGGGGTCTAAGTCACTCCCCATTATGGGTCTTGCCTTCTTCACCTGAAAAATGGGGGCGCAGAACGGGCATGTCTGAAGCCCCATCCAAGGTTGCTGGTTTGTGGTTTGCCACTCCTGCTGAAAATTCCCAAACTGTGCTTGCTTGGAGACCCCCCCGAGGGCTTCACTCCTGGAGCACCTCCTGGAGCATCTCCTGGAGCACGGGGGCTTTCCCCAGCCGAGGCTTGGGTGACCATTCGCTGCCTCAGCCCAGACGGTCAAGGAAACCTGGAAGGTCTCTTCCTTCGCAGACAGGAAGAGAAACACTATCTCCCCAAGGAGTAGACTTGACTGCCACGCAGGGCCTGGATAACCTAGGGCAGGCCTGTGAGCCATGGCTGATGGCCCATTCCAGCCTGTTGTGTCCACGAGCTGAGAATGCTTTTTCCTGTGTTAACTGGTTGGGAAAAATCCCAAAGAAGAAAATAATATTTTGTGACCCTTGAAAATTATATGAAATTCAAATTTTAGTACCTATGAGTAAAGGTTTACTGGAACACAGCCACATTCACTCATTACCTCTTGTCTGTGGGTACTTTGTGCGAGGGTGGAATTGTATGATTGCAGCAGAGACTGTATGACCCACAAAGCTTAAAATACAGACTATCAGGCCTTTTACAGCAGACCCCTGCTCAAGATAATTATAGCTCTTCCAAGGCCTGGCACAAAAACAGTTCTGGAATCTCAATCTAAAAATACTTTCTTTTCATTTAAAAAGAAGTGTTACTTTTTCTTTTAACATAAGCAATGAATGTTCATTATGGAATTATAAGAAGATGCAGATAAGCAAAGAGAAGATATTAAAGTCACCCATAATTCTGCCACCCAGAGGTAACTACCGGGAGCATTTTAACTCAGTCCTTCCAGATGATGTCTGGCATGTTTGTATTTCCATGTACACATATGACACGTGTATATATGACACACATACAGCTTCACAAGTTGTACCCACTGCCCCTTTCACTTCAAAACCTACTTCAAACTACTGGCTATCTCTGGGACCATCCTGGGTGCAGAGGACATCCAGGCGGAGGGGACCGCAGGCAGCCGGGCCCGTGACAGGCTCAATGGGCCAGCGCCATGGGCCTGGGAGTCACTAGCACGTGGGTGGTGGTTTCCATCATGGGAGAGGATGACCTCACCAGCTAGAGGGTGTAGGGGGAAGAGCAAAGGGCCAAAGAGGGAACTCTGGGCGGTGCCCACATGCCAGACAGGTGGAGGAAGTGAGCCCTCCAGTAGAAGGGGAAAGAGGCAGGACGAATGCCAAATGCCCAGGGAGGGAGAGCAGATGGGGAGCCTAGGTGAGTGCCTAGCACCCAGCAGGCACATGTGAAATAAGGGAGGAGAAGCCAGCACCTCCCCCAGTATCGGTGAGGGGCATGTGGAGCACTACTGAGCACTCACCAACATGCCCCAGGCTCCCGGAGGGGGCTTTGGAGACAGGGAGGAGGGGTGGTGGTCCAGGCTGAGGTGGTCACCTGGGCCAGCCAGGCAGAGGCCATGCTAAGTGTGAGGAGGCCAACTTGCTCAAAAGGTTGGAGAATGTTGGCCAGGGGGTCCTATCAGAACATGGGTGTGGGCCGGGAGTGGAGTATAAATAGGAATATGGTCTAGATGCCGGGAAACCCTGCCCCCCACTCATGAGACTGAAGGTCCCCAGGGAAGCTGCAGCTCCAAGGTCCCTGTGGTTCTGTTGCCTAAGTTGGGCATAGCGAGAAAACCAGAGATGGTAACAGAGCCCATGACAGGGCCTACATGTGCTTGGGGCCGTCAGGGTGGGTGAACTCGCTGCTTGTTCCTTCTCCTCCTGCTGACCAGCATTTCTGCTTAAGCAGGTGACGAGGACACAGATATGGCTTGTTTCTTTGGAATTTAAGGAAGACCTAAGACAAGGCTCCAGGCTTGGAGAGTGTGAAAACACTGATGAGGTGGGCAAGAGGCCTGCCCTGGGGCCTTTAGGGGGGGATGCAGAAAGAAGTGGAAAAGGCCTCCTTTGCCTGGTGGGTACGGTGGGTCTGTTCTAGAAGCAAAAAATGTAGAGATGTTGGTTGGCCTGATCTGGCCCTGCTCCAGCCTCCGGCCTGGGATGCCCTGCACGGCCAGGACCAGAGCTGATAGAAGTTTGTCTTGTCCCACCTTATCACTCAGAAATCAAGAACTCCCCTAAAGACTGCCAGCCAACCTTAGCTGGGTCTCAAAAAAAAAAAAAAAAAAGGCCAGAAAGAAATTACCAGAAGATAGTGATATCTATACCTCCAATCCTTGAGTCTTAGGGGGCCAAAGGGAGCAGACTGGGGTGGGGCCCACACAGACTGCTGGAAGCAGGGAGTCAGAGGGCCAGAAGGGGTCATCTGGAGAGGTCATGATCTAGGTTTGAACCCAGGAGCTCACCTCACCAGGGAGGCTCTTGGAATCTGCCTGTAGAGCTGGGAGAGCCTGCGAGCCGGCCCCCAAGCCCCAGAAGTCCTAGAAGTCCCAGGGGGATGCGTGTTCGGCTGGAACCTCTTATTAGGATTTTCTACTCCTCAGAGGACCCCTCACAGTGGCTTGGCACCTCCCAGGCCAGAAACCTCCACGAAACTCACTTAGGGAACAGCTGCTGGGCAGGAAGCTGCCCCCTCTGCCCAGGCCACTGCGCCCCACACCCTTAGGCAGGCGGGGCTGGCTGGAGAGGGAGGGAGGGTTAGGTCATAGCTGAGGCTTTGGGTCCAGCGGGCGAGGGCAGTCTCCTGGCAGTCCTCTTGCCTTCAAACAGCTCCTAGAACCGAGAACTCACAGCTTTCGGATAGTCACTCCCTGATCTTTTCAGGGTTCACTCTGTGCCAGGCCCCTTGTCCAGCACTGGGGGTGTGATGTTGAGTCAGACCCAGTCCTTAACCTTTAATGAGATCACAGGCAAACTAGGGAAGCTTTGCAGCGCCGGCCACCACGTGCATGACGTGGGGGCAGGAGGAAGCACAGTCGATGGGGGAGGTTGAGCCTGGCTTGAGCCTTGAAGATTCAAGCATCTCTCTGGCTTTCCCCTAATGCTCCCCACTCCCCCCATCCCAGCCCCAGTGTTCTGATTCCCACGGAGAACCAAGAGAAGGCAGGAGGGAGGCTGTCCCAGGAGCCCGAGCTTGCTGTCGTGTGCCCGGAAGGAGGAGGGGCCGGCCCACCTGCTTGCTGCCAAGTCCTGATGGGAGTGGAATTGGCTGCTGATGGGAGATAAACCTAGAGATAGTCCTGGCCCGGCTGGAAGCCAAAGGAAGGGAAACAGCATTTTTACCACAGACAGTCCTGGAGATTCCAGGTCTTTGTCCTCAAGGGGTCTGAGGTCTCTAGCAATAGCGGGAACAAGGCGTGTGATGTGGTGGCCGTGGTCTGATTCCATTCATTTATTCATCCCCCAAAATGACTGGGACCTGGCAGTTTCTCTCTCACTAAAGGCGCAGGAAACCCCACGGCTGGAGGCCCTCTCCTGTCCTGAAGGACGTCACATCTGCTCAGGGCCTGGTGGAGGCTGCTCTGGTAGCGGCCAGGAGGAAGCTTCTCGTTTGACCGAGAGGGAGGAAGTGTGGTCCCGCATGCTTCCCTGGGGAAATTTGAGTTGGGAAGTGGCTTTATCACAGGAAGAGCAAGGAAGGGCACCCAGACCAAGTGCACAGCTGAGGATGTGAGATGGTCATTCCAGGAGCGCCGAGTATGTCCCATCACACTCAGCCCGCCAGGGCAGGGTGAGAACTGAGATGCGAGGAGACGGGGATCAAAAGGTAAGAGGCCTAATCGGTCAGCCCAGAGTTTGGAATTTTTCATGAGGGCTGTGTCATATCAGAGAATTTTAGTATATGTGCTGCCGAAGCGAGCACATATCAGAGAATTTTAAATGGGGGTGGCATCACCTGAAAGCAGCTGAAAAAGTCCCAGAGCAGCCTGGTGTAGTTGGCAGACACGGATGGCCTGGGCTCTTCCCCTTTCGCAGTGCTAGTATATGAGAGACCTGGGATTTTTTTTCCCCTGACTCCACGCACAGAGAATTTTCTGGAGCAGGTCTGGGACCCTCAGTGCAGAACATTTCTGTAGGTCGGACCTTGCAGGGGTAGGTTGTGCATTTGTCCGAGGCAGGGGCGACCTTGAACCCCAGACACTTTGCCTTCTGACCTTGCTTCCTGCAGGTTTTGCCCTCAGGTTGCTCCGGAAGGCTTGCTTCCAGCATTCTAAACACAGGCCCTGGGATCTGAGTCCTGTCCCTGCAGGCCTATCTGTCCTTGATTCTGGTCATCCAGAAGGCCCCACTCAACACCTGCTCCATGCAGGCCGGAATTGGGCTGGCGAGGGCAGAGACGAGGCCTCTGTGCTGCAGGTGCCCGCTCCAGGCAGCCAGGGGGGAAGGCTTCCCCAAAGTCATCGCCAGCTCAGGAAACTGAAGCCTGGAGCTGTGCAGGCAGGGTCAGTTAGAGGATGAAGGAAGAGATGGTATCTGCAGGCTCCCTGCAGGCGCAGTTCTCGCTGGGGGAAGGAGCGTCTCTCCGCCTCTGACGTCTGCAGACTTGGTTGGCTGTAGCCTCTGTCTCTTGAAATGCACCCAAAAGCCAGGACTGAGTGACCAGGTGGGGGCAGGGAGTGGGCTTTGGGGCTGTTCCAGGACCTGGCTTGCTCTTAGGACTGAGGGACTGACCTTTGACATTGAGGGTCAGACCTCTGGGCTCCAGAAGGTGGGTAGTTGGAAGTTAGCATCCTTCCGTCCCTGCCCTGGAGGCCAGAGAGTGAACTTGAAAACAAATCAAAGCAAGAAGAGGGGTTGGGAAAGCCTCCAGCATGTGCCTGGGACTCCATAGCTGCTCATGTGCCTGCCACCTTCCCAGCACTGGGCATGGGGTCAGAGACTGGGGGGAGGGGAGCCAGTGAAGCGCCCTCCGGGGTGGACCTGTGAGAGTGGGGTTACCAAATGGTGAGGGGAGTGGAGGGGAACTTGGGGAAATACCTGAACTGCATGCAGGGGTATGGCCTGGAGCAAAACTAGAGTGGTAAGGGATGGGGAGAAGCAGGCCGGGAGAAAAGGGACCTGGGGCTTGAGGGACTTCGGATACAGGCTTCAAACTGGGATTCTATTCAGGGGGAAGGCAAAAGAGCTTCTGTAAAGGTTTGCTGAGAGGAATCTTGGCAGCCAGGCTTCCTGGAGACTGAGGTGTGACCTGCCCCCTGCCCTCCATGCGGTCTCCTGGAAGGGGCGACACTGCCAGCCTCTCTGCCTCAGAGGTCTCTCAGGCCATGTCTCCCAGAGGTCCCAGCTCCAGGTGTGGGGCCTGCCAGAGGTTGGGGTGAGAGGCCCTGTCTGTATCTCTGGGGCCATCTGGACCTGCTCCATGGAACTTTCTCCCCTCCGAGAATGGGGCCGGGAGTGGGGAGGGGACCAGTCTGCCAGGAGACCAGCGTTCCCGCGGTGTGGCCTTGCTGGGTTATGTGAGCCTAAGTAGGGGCCTGCCCTCCTGGCCTTTCCTTCTTGGCCTGCTTGTCCTATGGATAGCTGACAGCGCTCTCTGCTTTCCACCCATCTTGGGGTTCCAAAGCACCTGCGGTAAGGACTCGGAGAACGTGTTTGATGAGCTTTATATGGCCCTTTCTTCCAAGGGCTCCATCTGGTAGGAGCAGGAGAGAAGAAAGGGAGAAGAGAGTGAACGTTCTCTGGGCATCCTGGTGCCAGCACCATTTTAGCTCACTCGGCGTCTCCACTGGGATGTCTACTTGCCCCACACCCTGTTCCTCATCTCCCACCAGAACCTCCATCCCTTCTCATCTCCAGGAGTGGCCATGCGGGGTCAGACCCCTCAGGGGCATTCATACCCCTTGGGCATTCTGGACTCCCGTCACACCCAGTATTCAACCTTGGATCCACCTTCAAAACATATCCAGAATCCATCCACTGTTCCCCCACTGGCCCCAGGTACCACTGGCTCTTTCCTGGAGCTCAGCAGCCTTCTCCTGACCAGGCTCCGGCTCACCCTCTTCCCCACATGCATTCGAGGAAGAGCACAATTACTCATCTGCTCAAACCCTCACATACCCCCAGGCCCAGTGAGATGCAATCTGCACCACATTCCCCTATGGCCCCCCTCTCCAGTCACACTGCTGTTCCTAGAGCATACCAAACTCTTCTGCCCCAGGACCTTTGCACCTGCTGTCCCTGTGTTAACCTGCTTTCACCGGATTCCGCATGACTAGCTCCCTCACCTTTGCCTACTTGGAATTTTTCCTGAGATGTCACCTTCTCAGGGATGTCTTCCTGACCACGCTATTTAAAATAGCAACACCCACCCCTCCTTCTTGCTTTATTTTTCTCCATGGCAGTTATCATTCTCGACCACGCAGCATATTTCATTTATTTTATCATCTGTGCTGCCTACCCCCACCAACACCTGTTAGAATGTAAGTATTCTATCCAGGCAGGAATTAATGTGTATCCGTTGAAGGTGGATTCTCAGGGTCTACAACAGGGTCTGACTTGTAGCAGCTGTTCAAGAAATAGTTGTCAAGTGAATGGTGGAGCCAAAGCTAGGAGACATGATAAAATTTAATTGCTATCATCCAGTCTGCTGTTGGTAACGCTAGAATCTGAACCTGGATTTGTCTGACTTGTAGCTCGGGTGGGGTGGAGGGAAGCTGGAGGAAACCAGCAGGGAGCCCAGGCCATGGTGAGCAGTGGGGTGGAGAAAGTCCCCGTTAGGAGGGGAAAGGAGTGATGGGGTCATGAAGCTTGTGCACTTGGTTGCAACCAGGAAATTACTGAATGATTTTGAGCAAGGCAGTTCCTCTGCCTGCACCCACCTTCCTCGGGCCTACGAGAAATGGGAATAACAGCTCTGTGAGTGCCTTCTCCTACATTCCAGAACCAGTCCTTTCTGCTGGGTGCACAGTGGCCTCAGGCAAGTGTCAATTTCCTCCCCACCTGGCTCCTCCTTCCTCCTTCTGTGCCACCCACTTCGCTGGCACCAGCAGGAAGTTTTGGGCCGACTGGTGTATGCCCAGGAGGAAGAGATGGGGCTGGAAAGCTTGCTGGCTTACCTGGGCTGGGGGCTGGCCTGGTTGGGGTTCTGCCGCCCACCCCGCAGCTCCCCAGGAGTCTCTTCTCTCTTAACACCACCCACCACCACCACCCAGTGAGGCCCGCCAGCCTCCCTGGACCCCATCCCTCTTTCCCTGGCACCAGTTGCACGAGGACAGCCCCAGATGGCTCCCTGGCCCCGGGACAAAGGCCATGCTGTGCCTGGCCCTGGGCTGGCCTCAGGCTGGGTCACACTGAGCCCTCTGTCCCCAGATGGGGGTGAGGGGCAGACGGCACCAAGGTGACAGCCTTTTTCCCGACTCCCTTCCCCCTCGACCCCCAAATCTGAGTTGCTGAGTCTCCCAAGAGAAAATCGACAGAGGCATCTTGTTTCTTGAACGAGGGAACAACAGACCATTCACTGCCCGCCTGCCCTGTTACACCCCAGACCCCGCTGGGTTCAATACCCCAATTGTCTCCATCAGAAAGAGGCGTCCGCTCTCTGCTGCGGTCACCACCCCTGCTGCCTGCTCCCCTGTCACCGTCAGGAAGTCCACCCCAACATCTGACCTTCATCCTGCTGCAGTGACAGCCACTTCCTCTTGGTCTCCTCTTGGGGTGGTGAACAGCTGGTCCCCATCCCTCCACATCGCATCGCTGGCCCCACATTCCTGCTCCCGCAATCTGTCCCCAACTTCACCCTCACCCTGGCTCCCGGCCCACCGCCCACCCTGCCCCCGGCTCCACATGGTGGCTTCTGGCTCCCAACTGAACCTGGGGGTCAGCAGGTGTGATTCAGGCCTGGTTCCCCTTTGTCTTGGAGAAATTGGGGGCCTGCCTCCCATAAGGCTTTCAGTGAGCTCCCCTCCCCCACAGGCAAGAGCCGGGGCATGATTTATGGCCGCTACTGTTGAGTCTTGAGCCACAGACCCAAGCGCTGTCCATAAATCCCGGTCTTCGAGAAGACTTTATGGGGAGCCCTGTTTTTAGAAGAGGGCGTGGCTTGGCCAGAGCTCAAACCTCAAAGGGTCGAGTGCCTGCCTCCCCCAGCCCCCTTAGGATGACCTTGACCCGGCCTGCGGTCAGTTTGTATGGGGCAGACATTTCCTCCCCTCCTGCGTAGAGGGTGGGGGAAGGTCTCCTGCTCCACTCAGTGCACCCTCACCCCCTGCCCCTCCCCAGCCCCGAGGATGCCCTTTTTCAGCACAGTGGGGTGATCTAGAAACGGGTACATTGCCATCCCTTCCCTGGACCTCCCATTCTCCTCACCACGGTTGCATGTCCCTATCGCTGGGGAGGCTGTTAAGGATGCATTTTCCCAGGCACCATCTTTGGAGCCTCAGTTCCAAAATCTGAGTAAGATCCAGGAACCTGAACCTGAAGTTTTCAGCGATGCTGATGTTCAGCCAACTTTATAAACAAGGGATCAGCCCTCCTGGCATGTCTGGAGACGCTTGTCACCTGCTGCATCTGGAGCCTCCAGCATGGGCCCTGCTTGGTGGATAGTGTGAGGTGGGGGGCTGCCCTCCCAGTGTCTGTCCCAACAGTCCTGCCGAGTCATCACACAGCCTTGAGCCAGGGATGAGCCCAGGTCGGGCAGGGATGTGTTTGGGGATGGGCATCAGGCCGTGGACTTTGCCGAGGAGGCTGGAAGAACTCTTCCGAGGAGGTGTCGCTGGTGCCTGGGGTTTCTGAGAATGGGGCGCACACTTCACTCTCCTCTAACCCCAGTGCCTGGCACCTCGCCTGGCACTCAGCAGGGACTCTGTCCAGGTTTGTGGAGCTGACAGGGCAGACTTCAGGGCTGGCAGTGCAGATGTGAGACCTCTAGTGGGAGAGGTGCCCGTGGAGGAAGGAGGGCCTGGCCACACCCGAGCCCTGGCTCAGGAGAGCTGGATGGCCACAGCTTAACTGCCTCGGGGGCATCTAGGAGCCCATGGCCCAGGGAAAGGGTCCTTTCTAGGCTGGCAGAGGACAGAAGGATGTGATCATGAAGCAAAGCAAACATAGTTCTGACCCATAATCTCTTAAACCAGGAGGATACAGGAGGGGCCTGGTTGCCTTGGCAACTGAGTACTGGCCAGCGTTAGGGCTGTGAGCATCCTGCGGAATGGGCTGTGCCTGGTGCTCATGCACAAGCTGGGAGAGGGTGCTGAACAGCCCTAGTGCCTTCTTGGGAGGGGGCCCTGGTGAGGCCTCTTGCCCCAGCCCATGGCAGCTGAGGGTGGAGCAGGCCAAGCCCGTGAGACCACAGAGTGGGGAGGCCAGGCAAGACAAGACAGCCCCACTCTGGGCAGGACAGAGAAGCAAGAAGCAACGTCTTAAGGAAGAAGCAGCTGCACAAGCCTCCCTGGGAGGCCAGCGGAGAACCCCTCACTTGGAGGGCAAGAGGGCCGAGGGTGGAGGAGGAAATCCCTTTTGGCTGGGGAGGGAATCCTGGGGCTGAGCAACTTACCTCTCCCCACTGTGTTCTCTGCTGGGGACACCCTGCTTCTGGGGCTCCAGCGCAGGAGGGCACCCCCCCCCCCCCCAGTACCTCAGGGCCTCTCCAATTCTGCCAGATTTGTTTCTTGAGATCTTCACCTTCTCCCTACCGGCCAACCAGAGAGATGGGCGGGGCCTGCTCAGATACATACTCTCTCCCATCAGCCCTCCTGTTCCTATCTCCTGGGGACCCAGGACAAGCCAGAGAAAGGACCCCATGTGTATGGGGGGGGGCGGGGTGGACACGCAGTGTCACAGGAATGTAAACCAAGCTGGCGTTCGCTTGCAAGCATCAGTCGATGAGGCTTCCTGACTTTGACATTTTCAAGCATTTACACACAAATCAGCAAAGAGCTCTGGCCCAGGACCACCCTGCACTAGTACCTCCCTCTAAAGAACTCTCTAGACCTCCAGCAGCCATAAGGTGCCATCTGGGGCCTCCCTGGTGGCCTAAAAGTTAGTCTCAGCCCTATGACCGCTGTCGCCTGAGTTCGATCCCGGCCAGGTTGCTGACCCACATAGTGCAGCAGACCTCTCTCGTCTCGCCCACTGCTCCCCTCAGCAGTGTATTTCAGTAGATCCACCTGTTCTGCTCCCCACTCTGTCTCTGGTGTATCCTCTCACCCCCCGTACCTCTGGCCTGCACCCCAGTGCTTCTATAAAAAAAAAAAAAAGTACCAGCTGGCACTGGGGCTTCGGGACCCCATCTGTATGTGACCTCACTGTGGTGAGCAGAACCAGTACTGGGGGGATGAGGGACACCAGGAGGAAGAGGGGTGGACCCCTCTTCCCTCCACCAAAGGCAGTTGGGACTTTGGTGGAGCAGACAAGCCTGCAGAGACCAAGCTGGGATTCACCTTTGGCGCCTGCCCGGGCCCTGTCCTCACTGCTCTTCTCCCGCCTATGCCAGGTCCCGGCTGCCTGCTCTCGGCTGACCATGAATAAGATGAAGAACAACTTCAAGCGCCGCTTCTCCCTGTCCGTGCCACGCACTGAGACCATCGAGGAGTCCCTGGCTGAGTTCACCGAGCAGTTCAGCCAGCTCCACAGCCTGCACAATGAGGGTGAGGGGCCCACAGCCTCCGTGAAGTCCCCCCAGAGCCCTCCCTGACGGCCCCCTGCCTCAGGGTGGGGGGACAGAGGTGGGGCAAGGGACACCCCTCCTCCCCGCCTGGGCAGGAGTGGGGAGCTGATGCCTGTCCCTCTCAGCCCTGCAGCTCGGTCCTCTTGGCAGAGACCCCCAAGCAGAGAGCGGCCCCCTCTCCCCGTCGGACGGCGGGGAGGACCCCGGGCCACCGTCCCCCGGCCTGCAGTACCGGCGGCAGAACCAGCGCCGCTTCTCCATGGAGGTGAGGGTTCGGGCTCTGCCCTGTTCCCGCACGGGGCGCGTCCACGGCTGTGTGCCAGGAAGGCTGGTGCCTTGGAGCCAGGCTCCCTGGGTTCCGATCCCAGCTCTGCCACTGATTAGCTGTGACCTTGAGCAAGTTCCTCAGCCCCTGTGACTACAGTGTCCTTGTCTTAAAATGGTCATCGTGAGATTAAGTGAGTTAAGACATGCCAGGTCCTTAAACATGAGTGGTACAAGGCTGGGCGATTTGCTATTGTTCTTATGACCCACATGCCCATGGCCATGTGTAGGAAAAACATGCCCTAGAATCCCAGTGTGGTGAGAGCTCCTTCCACGGTGGTGACACTGTGGCCCGGAGCCCAGCACCCCTGGACTCACACAGCTGAGGGTTCACATGTGTCTCTGGATAGATCTTTGAAGCAGTTCTGAGTCTGGGGTCACAGACTGTGTTGGCCTTGCTGGGGTTGCTTTTCAGGAAAGAACAGGCCCAGGGTGAGAGGCCAGGGCCCCATGTCCCTGGCTACCCTGGAACAAACACCAGTGTCCCTTTCTCATCCCGGCCACGATAGGACATCAGCAAGAGGCTCTCTCTGCCCATGGACATCCGCCTGCCCCAGGAGTTCCTCCAGAAGTTACAGCTGGAGAGTCCGGATATGCCCAGGCCGCTCAGCCGCATGTCCCGCCGTGCCTCCCTGGTGAGTCCCAAGAGAGTCAGAGGTCACCAGAGGCTGGAGACCCGCTCCCCAGCATGGACACATCAGTCCTGGCCTTGCCTCTCTGGGCCAAGGGCTCAGCCGCTCCCACCGAGGTTCCTGGGCCTTTGGCGCCATCTGCTGGCCACAGTGGGTCCCTGTAGCTCATTCTATTGGTCAACACCCACTGCCTAGGTAGGTCGCCACCTGGGACGGGACCCCAGGCATGTGCTTCCCAATTCTGGCGGCCTACCAGATTTGCTTGGGAGCATCTGATGCAACACAGATTTGGGGGCTTCACTCCATGTACCTACGGAAACAGTGCCAGGAATCTGTATGAAGGGGTTGGCTCCCACGGAGCTGGAAGTGGGCCAAGGAGAGGTTGTGTGGGTGTGGGCTCTGGACCAGGTACTCTGGGCACAAGGGAGAGGAAGACACGGCCCCCAGGAGCTAGTAGCCCCAGCAAGATACACGCGGGCAGGGGCTCCTGCCCTCCCCACCCCCCCAGGGAAGAAATTCACCTTCCAGGGCTCCTCCCTTATCCCAGGATAGCTGGGAGATGCTTGGGTGCCTTCACCCTGTGAGCCAGTTATCACCTCCCCCTGGTGAGGGTCTCACCCCTTCCCTCTCAGAGGCTGGAGAGGGGAGGCCGGTGTATGCAGCCGCTGGGCCGTCAGGCTCACAAGACTCTGTCTCTCCTCTCAGTCAGATATTGGCTTTGGGAAACTGGAAACCTACGTGAAACTGGACAAACTGGGGGAGGTAAGCGCGGGCTTGGTCTGGGACAACCGGTCAGATGTTAGGCCAAGGGACAGGGTCTGCCTGGTCCCTCTGTGTGGCCCTCTCTCTGTCCCTGCCCCAGAGGGTCTTGCCCAGTTTTGGGGGGTGTTGGGGTAACCCCGCTCCTGGGGGGCGAGGACAGTAGCCCAGGGCTCTGGGCAGAGTCCAGCCTGTCCTTTCCCTGCAAGCATTTCTCGTCTGGGGCCCAGGCCCAGCTCCCCTCATCCTAGCTTTGTGACCCTGGTGAGTTACCTGTGCTCTCTGTGCCTCCATGTCTCCCCCGTCAAAGTGGCTGTCCACCTCATGGGATTGTGAGCACCCCAGCCACTGCCCCGCTCAGACAACACTGGCTCGGACAACACTGGCACGCAGTCAGCGCTGTGTAGTTGTTGGCTGTTTCTGTTACCAGCGCGCTGGGCTCTGTGCTGGAGGCTGGGGGTGGGTAAGGGTTTAAGAGAGGAGGGAGCTCTTCCCCCAGGGGCATCAACACAGCGGGCAGCAGTGCAGGTGTGAGCACCTAGTCTGCTGGGGAGTAAGAGGAAGGAGCAGATCGCAGGGTGGGCTTTGGAGGAGAGTTTGGGTGAAGAAAGAGGGCCCAGGGTGCTACCGCGGCCCTGCAGGCAGCGCTCACGAGTGGCTGGGGTCTGTTCCCAGGGTACCTACGCCACGGTCTTCAAGGGACGCAGCAAACTGACGGAGAACTTGGTGGCCCTGAAGGAGATCCGGCTGGAGCATGAGGAGGGGGCCCCCTGTACCGCCATTCGAGAGGGTAGGGCTGTGCAGCGCCCACCCTCCTGGGGCACTTGGCAAGGGGGCTTCGCGGATCTGAGCCCCAGCAGGAGCCTGGAGGTGGAGGCTTCTTGCCAGAGTGGGAACTTCTGGGCTGCGCCCCGAGGGGAGGGCTGGGGGCTGGGGAACCCCAGGGACCCAGCAGGCCTGTCTCCACAGTGTCTCTGCTGAAGAACCTCAAGCACGCCAACATCGTGACCCTGCACGACCTCGTCCACACAGAGCGGTCCCTCACGCTGGTGTTCGAGTACCTGGTGAGCTGGCTGGGGGCGATGGGCCGGGGGGGGGGGGGGGGGGAGTGCGCGGGCAGCTCCTTCCCTGCAGGGGGCAGAGGGTGAAGGGTGGGGGCTGGCCCAGCCCAATTTCCAGACTCAGGTTTTCAGGTACTCCCTTGCAGGTGAGGGCCCAGGGCTTAGAGACCCCTTGGAGCCAGGGCCTGTCCACTCCCAGGGAGGGGCTTCCAGCCAGGGGGCAGGAGAGGGCAGGGCTGAGCCAGGCTCTGTGTCCCAGGACAGTGACCTGAAGCAGTATCTGGACCACTGTGGAAACCTCATGAGCATGCACAACGTCAAGGTGAGGGCCTCCGTGGCAGGTACCCTCCCTTGGGCCCCACCTATCTTGGCACCCACCTGGGAACCACAGGGCCCCTGCTGCTGAGGTGGTTCAGATTTCAAATATCAGAGGAAGGGCCAGCCTGGCGCTTGCCACCAGAAGCACCTTCCCTGACACAGCTGCATCCTTGTTGCGCCACCCCTCCCCCCTGCCCGCCAGCTGTGGATATAAACTCCAAACATCAGTTTTCCCATCTGTCAAGTGGGAGCATGAATTACTCCCCAGGAGAAGGGGGGCTCCCTGGAAGCTGGGAGGATGAGTGACTCTAGTATTTGTCAAAGAATCAAAGAAACAGCCCCACACAGGTGGGCTTCCTGGCGCTTTGTGGCCCCTCAGCTCGGGGCTGGAGAACAGTCTGACCTGCCCCTCCACACCCCTGGTGGATGGGGCTCCCTGGGGTGGGCAGGGCTGCAGCAGGGCAGGAGCTTGCTCTCCAGGGACCTCGCCCCTGCCCCACCCCCTTGCTGCCATGGGACAGCAGTACAGGGTCTCCCAGAGGGGACAGGCTCCCTCCTGCTCACCCTTCTCCCCTGCACCCCAGATTTTCATGTTCCAGCTGCTCCGGGGCCTTGCCTACTGCCATCGTCGTAAAATCCTGCACCGGGATCTGAAACCCCAGAACCTGCTCATCAATGAAAGGGGGGAGCTGAAGCTGGCCGACTTTGGTGAGGGCTGGAACCTGCCTGGCTGGGGGCTGGGGGCTGGCTGTGTCCCCAGGATCCGTCCAGGAGGGAGTTTCAGTGATATGTCTGTTCCTAGGACTGGCCCGTGCCAAGTCAGTGCCCACAAAGACCTACTCCAATGAGGTGGTGACCCTGTGGTACAGGCCCCCTGATGTGCTGCTGGGGTCCACAGAGTACTCCACCCCCATCGACATGTGGTGAGTGACAGGGCACCCAGGGGAGCAGGAGGGACCTGGCCACATCCCCAGGGACTCTGTAAAGAACTCTGTGCCCTCCTTTGACTAAAAGTCACTTGGCATCCCACTGAACCAGATTTTAAAGAATTAAGTCTCAACTACACGGAGGTTACCTGGCCCCAAGAACTCCAAGACTGTGCTGAAATATTCCCCCAGCAGTACTTAGGGGCTGCCTGGGCACCGAAGGGTTCACACAGTAAATATGATGAATCAGCTCTGAATTTTGAGGAAGGGACACATTTTGTTGTTAAAATGCGCACGCATGTAAAATGAGCCTGATTTGAAAGGTAAAGCAGTTTTTCCAAGGTAGCGGCAATGCCCTATGCCAGGGGTGCCCCGGGAGATGCGCTGGTGGGCTTCTCTCCTCCGTGGGGGGACACTTAGGAAAAGTTTGAACCGATTTTCCTAAGAGCTGTCACATGCCCGCAGACCCATCTTGCAGAGGGCAAGGGGGGAGGCCAGCGCCTCCTGAAGCCTCTGCTCCCCATTCCCGCTCTGCGGTGGGGGTGGCCCGGGGGGACCCAGCCTGACGCCACCGCTGCCCATTGCAGGGGCGTGGGCTGCATCCACTACGAGATGGCCACTGGCAGGCCCCTCTTCCCTGGCTCCACGGTCAAGGAGGAGCTGCACCTCATCTTCCGACTCCTCGGTCAGTCTCGCCACCATGGGGCGCCAGAGCTCTGTCCAGTCCCGGCTACGGAGGGCTGGGGAGCAGCAGGGCCTGTGCTTAATGGGGGCGGGAGCTGCGTGGCCTGTACCGCCCTCTGACCACCTCCCGCATGCCCCCTCCGCGTCCCCCTTGGCCCAGCCCCTCACCCTGCCCTCCCTATCCCCTCTGTCGCTCCAGGGACCCCCACGGAAGAGACTTGGCCCGGGGTGACAGCCCTGTCGGAGTTCCGAGCCTACAACTTTCCCCGGTACCTCCCCCAGCCTCTCATCAGCCAAGCTCCCAGGTAGCCCTTCCACCTCCAGTCCTGCTTGTGGTCTCCACTGTCCTGGAGGTGGCCACACGCCCTGCTCCCCACCCCCATGCTAGGCCTGTGTCAACTTCTTCCTCCCACAGGTTGGACCCTGATGGCATCAACCTCCTGAGCAGCCTCCTCCTGGTGAGTGTCCCCGGCAGGGCCCAGGGCAGGTTCCAAACACCCTCCCCACTCCTCTGCCCCCACCCCTTCGCTCCTCTCTCCCACCCCTACGCTCAGTGTGAATGGTGTCTCCCCTAGGCTGTCCACCCTTAGGGCCCTGCAGGGGCTGGTTTCCACACAGACCTCTTCAGAGTGGGTGTCCTCTGAACGCCAGCCCAGTTAGCCCCACTTACCAGCTGTGTAGCCCCAGGCAAGCTACAAGACTTCTCTGTGCCTCAGTTTCCTCAACTGCAAAGTGGAATTAATAATCCATATTTTATTTTACTTTATTATTTTTTAAAGATTTATTTCTCCATGCATAGAAGAGCTGGGGTATAGGTCAGAGGTGCGGGGGGTGAGAGGACTCACCAGAGACAGAGTGGGGAACAGAGCAGGCGGATCTACTGAAATACACTGCTGAGGGGAGCAGCAGGAAGACAGGAGAGGTCTGCTGTGCCATGTGGGTCACCTCCCTGCCAGTGACCGAAGCCATGCTGCAGTGGCTGTGGATAGCTTCATAGTGCGAGACCCAACCCCTTGCACCACCAGGAAGGCCCAGTAATCCATATTTTATAAGGTGGTGAGGATAATTGAGATTATGGAGCACACTTGGTGTGGTGCTTGTCTTGGATAAGCACAGTAAAGGGTAGTTTACTGCGTCTGAACATTGCTGTTATTTATGTTATGGCCGTGATCGCTTTAGTGTCTGTATCTCCATCCCAGGAGGGGAGGTTGCGCTCCGAAGTCCGCTTTTGTTTCCTCCTGGTGGCTGGAGGCCTGGAAGTCTCACCCGCGGACCCTTGGGTTGAGCTGGAGATGGGGGTTGACAGTTGCCCCAAGGGCTTCTCCACTTCACTCAGCCCCTCCCATCTTGGTAATCTAACTTAGCATAAGATGCGGGGTCCCACCCCAGCCAGCCCAGTAGCCCACTCCGTGCCTTTCAGTACGAATCCAAGAGCCGTGTGTCAGCAGAGGCGGCCCTGAGCCACCCATACTTCCGGTCTCTGGGAGAGCATGTGCACCAGCTTGAAGACAGTGAGTATCTGGGGGAGGTCAGGAGGGAGGCAGGACCACTGCAGAGCCAAGGAAAGGGGCAGTGAGTGCCAGTAGAAGAACTGGAGCCCCTGGTTCCACTCCATGGGTTGCTTGTAACTAAAGGGCCAAACTCTGTGGATCAAAACCGCGGCCTAAAGGTCCGGTTAGATGCACTTGGGCCATCTCAACTGAAGGGGTTCACCAGCCAGAGCGAGGTTCCTGCCTCACACACTGGGTGGGTGTGGGAGCTCCTCCCAGCTCTCCCCAGCTCTCTCCTCTCTCATCCCAGCTGCCTCCGTATTCTCCCTGAAGGAGATTCAGCTCCAGAAGGACCCAGGCTACCGGGGCCTGGCCTTTCAGCAGCCAGGTAGGGGCTTGTGTCCCCCCACACCCTCGCCTTATTAAACCAGGACAGGTGGCTCCTCCCTCTCAAGGAACAGACAGGGGCCCAGCACACCCTCCTGTGACATGTGGTCAGCCCAGACTCCCTGACATTGGTCTGCCTTCATGGGCGCCCTTGGGGAGCAGGGAAGGCTTGGTTTCCCTATCTCCTGCCCAGGCTTCCTCCCTCTAGTGTCTGCTGCCTCAACCCCCTCCTCAGACAGATCTCCATATCTGAAGCAACCCTGGTGGGGGGTAGGCACGTTCTGGGGTGTTCCCTGTAAAGACTGAGCTCCAGCTCCCCCACCCAGACAGACACACCCTGTTGTACAACAGCCAATGGCCTGGAAATGACAGCACTTTCCATGCCTCATCTCATTTAATTCCTAAAACACTCCTTGAAGACTGTACTGCTGATGCCCACATTTCACAGATGGTGGAACTGAGGCTCTGGCGGCAAAGTCACAACTTCATGTGGCTTTTAAGTAGGGGTGGCTGCACTGGAGCCCAGGACCGACCTGCTCTCTGCACATGCTTGCTCGTTGGGTTAGAGAGGCTGGAGTAGGCCTCCTCTGTTGGCTGTGGGTGCCTTGGGCCCAGCCTCCTGCCTGCAGCCCCACCTCTTCCCCTCCTTTTCTAGGACGAGGGAAGAACCGGCGACAGAGCATCTTCTGAGCCAGGCCCACCCTGCTGTGGCCCAGGGACAGGAGGTCACACTGAACACAGCTGTGGGTAGGATGGGGCCTGTATGGTCCTGGAAGGACTGAGGAGCGAGGGCTAACGGCCGGCCCAGAAGACCTCTTGCAGCCCTGCTGGTCACGGCTGTTTCCTCTCCCTGCTTCCCACTTGCCTCCCCTCGGCCTGGATACCTACCCCTGGCCGCCCAGCCTGGGGCTAGGCAGGAGCTGCTTCTCCAGGAAAAGATGCAGGGCCGGAGGGGCCTCAGACCCTTTCCCACCCTACAGTGCTTGGCCGCCCTGGTGGGATCCTCAAGGACAGGAGAACCCAGTGCCGGGCTGAGCACTGTGCTAGGACGGGTGCCACCAGGCGTCCCCAGGGTCTGCCTGCTCAGCTGTGTGCAGAGCCCCTTCGGGCCCCTTGGAGCCCACACTTCCTTTACTTTCTTCCCCTCAGAGCAGGAAGCAACATGGCCCCTGTCTGGGTCCCGGGAATCCTGGGTGCCAATGTGTGTGCCAAGGCCCACCTCCCACCTGAGGGATGCCTGTCCCGGAGCAACAGAGAGAGGAGGAGCCCAGCCCCTTATCACACCCAGTCTGTCCCTATGCTCCCTCCTCACCAGATGCCACGTATCAGCTGGGTGCCCTGCTGGGCCTGGGGTGGCTGGCACAGAGCTGCACATCTGTGCCTCCACCCTCCCCAGCCTGGCTGGCATTGCCTTAAGTCAGCAGGAAGAGTGTCGCCCCCTTGGTGTGCTCCTACCTGCCCCCATCCCACGCTGCTCTTGCTTGTCCCCGCTGAGCGCCAATAAGCCGCCCTGGGCCGGGCTTGGGGCCAGCACCCAGATATATGGGGCATGCTGATGTGGTGCCAGGCAGGCTTGGGCTCCTTGGAGGTGGCCCTTGGGGCCTGATCCTTGCTCCACCCCACCCTAGCTCTGGCCCCCACAGAGTGTGGTCAGGGGAGAGGGTGTCAAGGGCAGGAGGTGGGACAGGAGGGCAGGCCTCTATCCTGAGAGCCTGTCCTGGGGTGCTGGGTGGATGCAGGGCCACAGGGGCCCTCGCATAGCCCTCCACCCCAGCACCCCTGATGTGTTTCCAAGGTGTCTGCAACTTGGGCTGAATCTTGAATGACAAAGGCCAAGGGGAGGCCAGACCTGCCCAGCCCAGTCCCCTCAACCGGAGGAGCAGTCCTGGAGGGTCTCAGCCTTCCCCCAGCCTCTCCTTGCCTCCCCCACTGTACTGTGAATGTCCTGTGACTCAGCACAAAGATAATATATTTAATTCATGTTGTACAGAAAGGAGCGCGCCTTCTCGTGCAGAAAAGCTGGTATTCACAGACTGACCCCCAAGGTGGAGGCCCGCTGGCCCTGCGGGTCTAGAGTGGGAGGCTGTGGATGTAAAGTGGAGAGAGCTGAGCCCTGGGCTGGGGTTGGGTTGCGCTGCCCACTTCCTGCTGAATTCTAGGCACCACCGCTGCAGCCACTGTGTCCATGTCCGGAAGTCAATGCTGGGGAATATAGGATTGCCGGGGGAGGCCCGCACCTCTTGGTGCCTTGCTCTCAGCCTTCACCCAAGTTGACTGTAGAGAGCTGGGGCCAGGGGAGCCAAGAGGAAGTCATGGGGAGGGATGGGGAGGGACCCCTGGGCTCCCTCAACCGAATGACTCCCTGACTTCTTGGGAAGGAGGTTCAAGAGAGGATTGACACGGGGCATGGTCAAGACGAGAGCCACAGAACTGGGGTATGAGCCTCCCTGGAATTCTGGCCCAGCAGTACCTGCTGAGACGCCACCCCCATCTGCCAGACCACCTCTTCCCAGTCCTTTGTATACCTCCCGGTATTTTCACAGTGCAGCTCTTTTCCAATTCACTCTCCAGCTTGGTTCTACCCAACACCACTCTGACAAGCCAGGCCCCCCCACCTCCATGCCTCCTTACTTACCAGTCTGCTGCCTCCTGTCTGCCCATCAGAACTGGGCTCCCAATTTGTTGGCAGACCGACTGGAGGGGTGGCTGCCTTCCTGAGGAGGAAGCTAATGTTGGGAGGTTGGGTGCTGTCTCCCAAGGATGTGGGAGGAAGGGTGGACAAGGGCTTGATTGTTGGCCTGCAACTAGCCCCGCCTCGTGGGAATGTCACTGGCTCTGGGAATGCCAGTGGTGAGGGTCAGCGTGGAGCCTTTTTCACTGGACCAAATGTTTATTAAGCTCTCTACTGTGTGCCAGGCACTGAGGAAACCCCTCGTTTTATCCTCAGGATGGCCTCATTTCTCCCCACTTTGCAGGGGAGGACAGCGTGGTTCCTAGGGATCACATTGTAAATGAGACTTAAGGTCTCTCTGCCACCCCAACCCCTGGTCTCCAAGGAGGGAAGGGAGAGGAGCAGAGGGGGCGCATAGCCAGTGCAGAACCCTAGAAACATGCAGAGGATCCTGGGGAACCTTGCTTTACTAAAACCCCTGCAAGCCTGCCCTTGTGGCCTGTGCGTGGCCCCTACTGGTGACAGGCCCTGGCCCATCAGGAGTCTCTGGGGAGCAGCTGTGCTCACTGCTGCAGCTGCAGTGCTGTGTGGACTCAGGGTGGGGAGCCCTCTTTGAGGTCCACGTGGCACATCTGAGCTGCCTGAGGATCTTAGGGCTCAGCCAGACAGGCTCACTGCAGCCTTGGGCGTAGTTCCTACTCAAGGGCTCTCAATGGGAAATCAAGGGTTCTGGGGTTGCAAAGAGAGGTCAAATGACTGCTTATGAGCAGCCAGGACAGAAGGGCCACCAGGCCTGCCCCCTGGCTCCTCAACTACCAGACTGAGCCACAATCACAGCCCCATCCTGGAGGGCATTTGCAGGGCACCCCTAGGCAACCGGGACACACAGGAGCCTTCCCCATTCTGCTGGAGTCCCTAGGCCGGAAGCACAGATGAGCAAGTTCTCTCTCTGGCCTCACTTTTCCATTTGCTCCTGGCATGGGTCGGGGTGTCTGGATTCCCCTAGACTTCATCTTCTACCTGCTTGGCAGGGGCACTGAGGGTTTGCAACGGCCCTGCAGCTCCCTGAGGGCAGGTCTTTGATGAGGGGTTGGGGGTGACACCAGCTCCCACGTGGCCCTGTCCCATCCTCCCCTCCCAGTTGCCCTGCCCGACATCCGGCTCCAGTGATCCAGGCTGATGGCCAACAGGCTGCTGCTGGGCCTGCCCCCTGGGCCAGCCAGACCTTTCCTGCCTCCCAGGAGCAGCACGGCCCCTTTCAGCCCATCTCCACCTCCACCTTTGCTGGGACCCCTGCTTCCAGGCTTGCCTCACTACAGCACCCCATGAGCCCCTCTGTCTCCAGAGCAAGTCATTAGCTCTGTAAGCTCATAAACTGTTCACAGCCAGCCATGAACTGGGTCCCAGGACCCCTCAATGCAAGGCTCCGACCTTACTGCCAGGATCTCAGGCTGCTGGTGGAGGTGGCCTTTCAGTGGTATTAGGCCCCATGCTGGGCACTGAGGATGGGGCAGTGAATGAAACTGCCAAGTCCCTGTTTGAGTGCTCAGAAAGATAGCACTCAGATAAGGCAGCGTGGCCAGGCTGGTGCAGGGGCTCAGGGCCTGATTAGGTCAGCAGGAGCTGTGACTTGTAAGGGGAAGCCACTTGGGCTTTCAAGAAGAGACTTCCAGCAAAGGCCCGGAAGGCGCTTGCTCCAGAGCCGGGCCTGGCAAGCAGTAGGCAGCGGGACTGCTCAGGGCTGGGGGGCTGCCTTTCACCCCTTGGAGCGTTAGGGTGTATGGATGCTCCTGCAGCTCAGCTCCATTCACTCAGGGCTCCTGAACAAGCATCCATGATTTTTTAAAGGCTCCCAGATGACTCTTCTGTGTGCCCAGGGTTGAGAGCCACTCACTGGGGTCTTGGGGGTCTGGGGGCACAGGATTCCATTCTGATAGAGGAAGCCCCTGCTGGTGTTTTCTTCCTTCTTTGAGTTAATGTTGGGTGATACCATTATTTGTGTTCTAGAGGTGTGGGCTCTCCCCTGCAGGTGTTGTCATGACCCCACACCCACCACCAGAGCCTCACAGTCCAGCCCCCCACCTCCCGTCCTTTGTGCTCCTTCCCCCACTTTATCCTTATCTCTCTCCCCACTCCCCACCCCTCAGGTAGCCTCAGTTCTGTAGTCAGATTTCTAGGGTCTGCTGTTAGCTTGGCCTTATCTGACCTTTTGGCTTCTCTATGTTCCACATCTGTGTGACCCCATCTGGAGTTTGTCTTTCTCCGGACTTATGTCACTTAGCATCATCCCCTCCAGCTCCATCTATGCTGACACAAATGGCAAGAGTTTGTCTGTTTTGATTGCTGGAGTATTCTATCACGCACCATGTCTTCCTCATCCAGTCCTCTGTACTGGGGCACCTGGGTTGTTTCTCCTCTCCGGCTGTTGTAAACAGGGCTGCAGAGAACGTGGGTGCAGGCTTCCCTTCTCCTGAGTGCGTGTTCTTCGGGTAGATGCCTAGGAGCGGGGCTGCTGTGCTGCCTGTGTCTCTAAAGACCGAGAGGCCCACAGCACACGGCAGTCTCCAGGAGGAAGGTGCCTTGGGAGAGGGCAGCGAAGAGCCTCCTCCCAGCCTGATGCTGTGAGACGGGGCTGCCGATCCACTTCCGGGGAGCGGTCTGAGGCTCTGGGAGAGGTATGTTGCTGGTCACATGAGAGTCATCTGGGCCCAGTCTGCCTACCTTGCGTTGCGCTGCCCCCATGACACTGCCTGCTTCCTCGGGTAAGGCTCCGCCTCCTTGTCTGCTGGGGGACAGGGGCAAGGGACTGGAGCAGTCACCTACAAACTCAGGTCAGCCAGAGGGTTGACCAAATGTCACTGAGCCTGCCCCTCTTCAGTGAGTCCCCTGCCATCCCCCAGCCCCTCCTCTGGGTGGGGGTTGGGGTGTTCAGTCAGAGCACAGGAGCTCTGTGGCCACCCTCCTGCTCAGACTGCCCCATCTCCTTCTCCTCCAGAGCGCATCCCCCCCCCACCCCGCCCCTCACTATTCACTGTTGTTCTGACTAGACTGTCTCCAGTCCCCAGATCCAGAGCTGACCCTGACCTATAACTCACGTGCAGGAGCCCAGAGTCTCAGAGTCAGTTAGGATGTGGTCTCTGCTTCCTCTCATGAGGTCTGGTTACTTGCAGGAAGGGGGGTTGTCCATTAGTCATTCTTTTTTAAATTTATCAACTTTTTTTTTTTTTTCCAAACACAACACAAATTTTTGTGCCATACATGTCTTCTCTAGGTGAGGGGCGGGTTGGGTCTTGGGTTCCTGGGAAGGAGTTTTGCATGTTAGGAACATAACACATGGGCTCCAAAATATGTAGACCTCCTGGGTTCAAATCCCAGCTCTGCTGCTTGCAAGCTGGGCCACCATGGGCATGTTACTTAACCTCTCTGTGCCCTGGTTTCCTTCTCTGTGAAATGAAGATGGTGATCACACCTTTTCATGAGAAGCCTGCTGAGCACACGCTCCGCACCCTCCCTGCCAGGAACCATCGTGGCCTTACAATTGGACAGACTCTTTTCTTGCACTTTCCACTCTTGATCAAATCTCAATCAGAATTTAGTTAGTGTATTCTACATAAAAGATTTTGAAAGGCTTTAAGAAGATGACTTTGGAGTTCTGTCGCATGGAGTTTTTAAAGCAGCTGGAAAGAGAGTTTTCCATAAAAACCTTAGGCCTCAGGGCCTCCCCGGTGGTGCAGGGGTTAAAGTCTCAACCCTATCACCAGCCCCTGCAGCATGAGTTTGATCCCTGGCCAGGGAGCTGCCCCACAAGGCACAGCAGACTTCTGTCTTGCCACTGCTCCCCTAGGCAGTGTATTACAGTTAGTCTCCCTGTTCTGCTTCCCACTCTGTCTCTGGTGAATCCTCTCACCACCTGGCCTACACCCCAGTTCTTGTATGCACAAATAAATCTTAAAGAAGAAAAAAACCAACAACACTAGGCCTCAGGCATCACTCAGTGCAAAGCTGCCTCTTGACGTGGTGAACAATCTCATGCATGGAGGGGAGGCTGGGAAAGCACTTACTGAGGTGCCTGAATCAGGCTGCCCCAGGTTCTTGGCTCCTCAAGACTTCCCTTTCTAGTACGCAGAGTATTTTGAACTAAGAGCAGTGAAGTCCCTTGAGGGTGAGGGGCAGCTTCTGTCCTTGCCTAAGACCTTTCTTCCCAAATCAAAGGAGATAGCCACTACCTAAGTTTCTGCCCTTTGCCTAATCAGAGAAGTAATCACTGCTCCCCCTTCTATGACCCAGAAAAAGGTCTCATCCAGCTGTAGCTTTATTATGTCTTTTCTAAGAATCTCATCTTTATCCTCAGAGTAAGGATGACATCACCTCCCTTTTCTGAGCCGTGTTGTCTTCCTCCCACCTCTCTCCTTGAGGCCCTGTCCCTAAATACAGGATAAATGCCCCCGGTTCACTCCAGTATTTTTTAGAAATCACTACCATGTAAATTCTCCATACGTATATTACTAATTTTGGCCTTTAAACTCCTACTATCTGTCTGATAATTGGTCCAACCTTGGAAGAACCTTGCCAGATGGGGTTGGAAAATTTCCCCTGCACCCAAGGGGCACTAACTGCCTCTGGTAACCCCCTTGGTTGCAGAGGGAGGGGCTGTGGTGGGGGCAGCCATATGTCTCTGGTCTCAGCAGACTCCTTGGTGTCCATCTTGTCCAGCAGAGCAGCAGTTAGGGCCCACAGGTGAGAGCTGTTCCCCAAAGAAGCTGAGAGGAGTGTGGCCTGGCACATACCCATCCCCTGGATTCCAAGATGCCTGGGGCATCCACCCCATGAAGCCACTGGCTTTGAGGCCTAACTATCTTGGCCTCTCCAAGACTTGGCACTGACGGGGCGTATAGGAATTAACATATCTGGCATTCTTAAATCTGGAGCTGATAAGGGCAGAAGGACCGCCTGCAAGGGAAATGGTGGGGTCCTGGGCTCAGGGCCAAGTGCTGTTTCCGGATGTGGGCTGGTGCCTGGCAAGGTCACCCTCAACCACCTGTGACTCCTCACTTTGGCCAAATGTGTGTCTTGGCAATGGAACTGACTGCCTAGTGGCTTCGCAGCAATGGAGGCAGGTCAGTGTAGAGGTCAAGAGCGGAGCTCTAGTACCAAGCTGCCTGGCCTGGAATCCTGACTCCAAGTAGTTGCTGTGTGCCTTGGTTTCCCCATCTGTAAAGTGGAGCAACCATGGGGTTAGTGATGAGTTAGTAACGGACAGCACTGCGTATGTGTTGGCAGTGATGCCGCGTGTCCCCCAGGTGAAGTGGTCATCACTCTCTGGGGGGAGGGTTTTACCAGACCTAAGAGGCATGAACCCCTCTGACCTGGGGTGCTACCCAGCCTTCCAAACCGCCAGCAGAGTTTGAGAATTCTCATGTTTCTTATCCTAACAGAGAAATGTGTCAGGCCAAATGCTGTGATCCTAACAAATATTATCTAAATTTTTAAGACTTAATTTCATAGACATTTATTTTAACTTTTCCTTGGCCCAAACCACTCTGTGAAACACTAGAGACAGAAATAAGTAAACAGCACCCTCTCCTTAAGAACTCACAATCTGCTCGGGGTGTGATAAGCCGATTGCAGAAATAATAACAATAATGGCTCCATGTGGGCCTTTGTTATCTGCATCTCACAGAGGCTGCATGCGTCAGCCCCAGGGGGTGTGAGCAGCTGCCCAAGGGATTTGCTTCTTCCAGCCACCTCCCCTCCTCTCCTCACCCATTGCAGCTGACCCTCCACCCTCTGGGATCCTTCATAGTTACAAACTGAAATGAATTACTACAAAAATGCAGCAGCAGCTTTCGGAGTCTGCCACCACCTTCCTGCAGCAGAGTGCCCCAGACCCCCTGCCAGGAACTCGGCCCTGTGAACACAAGTGCCCGCTCCCAGTCACACAGAAAAGCTGGTCTGTCTGCTAGGTGTTTCCAAAACTGCATTCTCCCCACCCCCACCCCAGAGTAATCAGAAGACTGTGGTCCTCCGGCTGAGGAGGGCCAGGCCCTCTGGGGTGTGCTCTCCTCCAGGGGTGCCACCCTGACTCCCAATTGCTTTGTTAGGGTGATTGTTAGGGGGGGACCCACAGCCAGGCAACCCATTTTATTTTATATCAGGGTTGCCCTATAACATAATGACACTGATTGATAGCCAAGAAATCCCTTTCTAGTCACGGAGGCACTGGTTTGCACAGTAGCCCACCCTGCACTGACCTTGTCCCGTGAGATAAGGCAGTGCATATGTGATGGCACCATTCAATTGATGTGGAAACTGAGGCCCCAGAGGCTGAGTGCTTTGCAAGGCTTAAGTGACAAAGGAAGGCCTCCCAGCAGACTCGCCTGCCTGCTCACTGCCCTCTGGATGACTTTGCCTGCCAGCTGTGGTTTGTTGTTTTGCTTTTTTTTTAAAGGTTTATTTATTTATGCATACAAGAGCGGGGTACAGGCCAGAGGGGTGGGGGTGAGAGGACCCACCAGAGACAGAGCAGGGAACAGAAAGGCAGACTGACCGAAGCACACTGCTGAGGGGAGCAGCAGGCGAGTCAGGAGAGGTCTGCTGTGCCATGTGGGTTGCTCCCTGGCTGGCCGGGAATTGAACTCATGCTGCAGTAGCTGCGGATTGCCTCATAGGTTGTGTCCCCACTCTTGCGCCACCAGGCAGGCCCCAGCTGTGGTTTAGATTCAGCCCAGTGGCAGGGCTGTGAGCAGCAGCCTGGGGCTGGCAGGGGAGCCAGAGTAAGCAAATTCCACTTTTAATTGAACTGGCCCAGTGGGTTCAAAACGCAGCCGAGCCAGGAACTTGGGGCACGCGCCACTCCTCCCTCTCCAATCGGTGCCCCTCTGCACCCTCAGCCTCCTCCCCCTTCTCCCGCCACCCCTGGGAGCCCAGGTAGTGGGGCTGGGGAGGGTCCCAGGAGGATGTGAGCCCAGGGACAGGCGGGATGTTTTTCCCACTCTGCATTGTTCTGTTTGTGCCCATTGTGTGGGCTGAGAGCGGACGTCAGGGAGTCGCCTGGCAGGCTTTCAGCAGCGCTGGGGACGTTTCCGGAGGGGAGGGCACTGACCCGTTATAACATCATAATGGCTGGAGCTTTTCAAAAGCTTTGGCATTTCTTTGGATCAGACAGACTTGGGGAGCCAAGGCAAGGAAGGACTTGGAGACTCCCCACTCCTGGCAGCCCCCTGCGAGGCTGAAGTTCCGGGCCTTGGCAGTCCTGCCGTCTGGAGGGTGCCTGGCTGGGTACCCTGAGGGGTAGACATGGTGGGGGTGCTGGTGAATGGAGGACTTGGCTAGGGGCTGAGCAGTTGCTTATAACACCTGACCCCCACTTGGGATGGCTCCCACCTGAGGATGAGAGAAGACCTAGTCTCACCTTTATTTATTTATTTTTTAAAGATTGATTGATTGGTTGATTGATTTATACAAGAACTGGATACAGGGGCCTCCCCGGTGGTGCAGCGGTTGAGCGCTGGGTTGCGAAGCTGCCCGCAGCCTCTGCGGCGCCGGTTCGATCCCCGGCTGCTCCCCAGCCACCGGAGGAGGGTCCCCCATGGCGCGCAGACCTCTCCTGCTGCCCGCTGCTCCCCTCAGCAGTGTACTTCGGTCCTTCTGCCTGCTCTGCTCCCCTCTCTGGCTCTGGTGAATTCTCTCACCCTCCCGCGCTTCTGACTGTACCCAGTGCATGTATAAACAAAAACAAACAAACAAATAAATACATCAATAAAACATGTCTCTATAAAAAAAAATTTAAAATAAAATTAAAAAAAAAAAAAAAAGAACTGGATACAATCAGAAGCGCGGGAGGGTGAGAGAATTCACCAGAGCCAGAGCGGGGAGCAGAACAGGCAGACTGAAGAGTACACTGCTGAGGGGAGCAGTGGGCAGCAGGAGAGGTCTGCGCACCATGTGGGACCCTCACCCGGCAGCCGGGGATCGAACTGGCGCTGCAGAGGTTGTGGGCAGCTTCGCAGCCCAGCGCTCAACCA